TCCTGGGTCGTGAGTCGCCCGGGCCAACCAAGCCTTCCATCCCTCCGGGGTCGGTTAATTGGTACCAGACTTGTCTGGGAGGATAAAAACACTGACTTGTACATCGGCTGGCCCCCGCAAGTCATTGTATAGGCCACATCGCATTCAAACGCCACTACGAATGTACAAATGGAAGTAGAATGCGTGCCGCATCCCAAAAAGGGATTGATCAACGGCAAATGCTTTATCCTTTTATCCTTACAGTTTCACCTCGTATGCTTATTACATGGGAAGAAATACAGTAAATAGGGCGAGGATAGGGAAACACACGCCTTTAGGAGCCCCGGCTCCTGTACTTCCAGGCGATAGAGCGACAGAGCGCTGTCGATTTCCTCCCCCGAAAGACAGCCCGAGCGTTTACATTGATGATTGACGGGAACGGTGCACATCTCTAATTTCCTGGCCATTTTATTTAAGAGGTCCACAGCAAATAGTCGTTCTGCAAACTTTCTGGTCAGTCCAATGCTTTGTGAACTTCTAAAGGATTGAAAGAAGTCAGGTAAGTACTATAACCAAGCATAACTCAATGGGATCATCACTGGGAGCTATTGTGCAGCACCTCTCCATTCTCTCACCCGACTTACCAGGGGATTTTGCGCCACATTACCTTTTTATTGCCCTACCCAAACGCTATACAAATATCATACTAGATTGCATGGAGCTCTAGAGTTTGCTAGTTATATTTATTTTCGGTCTCTAACAATGGGGTAACCGGCACGAATAAAAGTAATGCCGCCGATTGACGCTCATTGTTGCGGTCTGACGCTCTTCGTCATTCTTCCTGTTACTCATGATCGCTGCAGCGCTATTGTTACCTGTTGCTCGCTACTGCAAATCGTCTTTTTTCACCCTTACCAGAGTTTATTCTTGCTTTGAACTGCTTGTTCTCCCTCACTATAGCCCTCACCGTGTCCTTCTTTCTTGTGTAGCGGTAATGTTTATTTCTCTTGCACGGTTTGCGATTGAACTTCGCCCAGCCCAGTCGAACTTTCCGTTCCACCGGCGTCAGTCTTCGGGCATGGGGCAGAACGGGATACTGAAGAAAAGACAGAAGAAAAAGAAAGAAGGAAACATTGAGTTGAACCGCAACTGCTTCGTTCCTATCGATCCTGTTTAGCACACAGGCACACTCCAATGCTACAGCGTTTCCGAAGCATTAGACTACCGATCAAGCTGTCCCATATCTGTACGGATGATCACAGAATAAACGGTCTAGGAAAACTTGCCAGCTTTTGACTGAGAAGTGAAGCGAGGCGAATGAGCTAAAAATTTCCCCCACGTCACTTCAAGTTCTTAAAGGAATCTTCCACGGACCATGGACCAGTGGGCGGGACCGAAATGCATGGTAGGTACGGATCCACGTTCATGGGAAGGTTTGAAGTGAATCCTGTTCACGTTCGTGCGTTCGACACGTGGATCCGTACCTACCATGCATTTCGTCACAAAAACTTCCGGTCCCGCCCCACTGGTCCCCCAGTTGCGTCGATGATCGTGGAAGATTCCTTTAAGCATTTTTTCCGAGTAGGAGTGTGCGTGTTTGCGGACTTACCGTTCCGCGTAAGTATAGGTTTCGCAGCGAAATCGTCTGCACAAATTTCGGATCTGACGCGAATTCACGTGTGTACACATGTCCGTTGTGATCAGCGTTGCACTTCCGAAATTTGAACTGTGGGAGTTTGCGACGTCGCGTAGGACCTGCAACGTAACCACAAAATTGAGGACAAGTTCGCAAAAAGTTTTTCATGATGCTGGTGTCCTGTTTGTTCCAGGAATGCTACTGCGTCCGCATTTACCACTAGATAGAAAAGCAAGTCCTTCAATAATTTCAATTTTGAAAGTGAAATTAGTGAAGCACTGGGAAACCATATGGAATTGCTGCCATTTATTATTTTGACCACTAGCAGAACATTCCAGGCGCCATCTCGAACATTCCGCGCGCGTCGTGCTCTGAAGACGTAACGCTATTGTGGCCCAACTATAAATAGTGGTTTTCTTCACGTCTACGTACGTACTTTCCCACTACGCGTAATGATTGATGACCGGCTGTCGTTTGTAACGGGCTGGTAGCCGCGGCGCCCACAGCCCACACTCCAATCCGGAACCCTCCCGCACATACTCGATGTGAGGAGCTGTTCCGCCTCCGCGGTCGTCACATCCCATCTAGCGTTCTGCCCATTTTGATGGCCCATTTCCTTCCTACAAGCGGCTATACATAGCGCTTTTAGTATAGCTACGCTTTTTTTCTAGAGAATTCAGCTAGAATTTTGTTCCACCTTTTC